CCGCTGCTGCTGCTGCCGCTGCTGGACCTGAATTCTGGACCTGATTTGAAGGCACTACTATCGGCCATCGGTTTACAGGCGTCTGCTTCTCACCACGGTATCATCCGCCGCTCCGCCTCCTCCGCCGTCCCTTCTCCGCCGCTACACCATACTCCGCCACCCGTTCCCCGCCGTCCCCTCCTCCCGCCGCCCCTCCTCCGCTGCCCCTTCTCCGCCGCCCTCGTTGAACGAGTTCCGCGCGCCCGTCATGTCGCGCCGGGGCTTCACTCCAGTTGCGGCGCCAGCGGCGGGTCTCCTTGCGCTGCTGCTCCTCGCAGCGGCAGCTGGCGGCGTGCGCGGAGCGGGCGTCAATGCGGCGCAACCCCGCAAGCTGGCTGCTGGCGGAAGCGGAGACAATGCCGCCGCGTCGGAGCTAGTAAAGGAATCCTCCCGGTCTTCCGCGGAGGGGGACTGGCTTGTAGTGAAGGATTCTGCTCCTTCCGCCAGTGGCGGTGAGGCGGACGCGGAAGCGGAGGCGCAGGCGCAGATTCCGCCGCTGCAGCTGATTCTGGCGGAAGAAGGGCGCGCGGAGGGCGCAGTGTGCTTGGACGGGTCGGCTCCTGGGTTCTACTATCGGAAGGGCTATGGCTCGGGAGAAAACAACTGGGTGCTGTTCTTCGAGGTGTGACTAAAACGAACGGCTTCCGTTTTCCTCCTTTTTTTCAATTGTTTCTGCACCGCCTAGTACCCTCCGCCGCCTCCCTGGCCCTCCATCCCCTGCTTGTTTACCTCTACTGTTTTTTCTTCCCCCCTTGTCCACCTTCCGTTCCGCCCTCCTTTCCCCTCCCCTCCCCCCACCCCTCTCCGCTTCCCCTCCACTCTCCCCTTCCGCCCGCATTCCAGGGCGGAGCGTGGTGCGCGTCCCCCCACGCCTGCGCGCACAGGGCGCGCACGCACCGGGGATCCACGGAGCACGCGCGCTCAGTGGCGGAGATGCTGGATAAGGAGAAGGGCGGCATGAACGGCATGCTCAGCTTCAATAAGACTGTCAACCCTGGTGAGAATCCGTAGCTGCTGCACCGCACCGCACCGCACCTCGATGCACAGTTCATGTTCAGCGGCAGCATGATTGGCATGCTCAGCTTCAATAAGACCGTCAACCCTGGTGAGGAGAAGTTGCTGTTACACCGCACCGCACCGCACTACACTGCACCGCATACTTGCGCTGAATGGCAGGCATGCAGGGCATGCTCAGCTTCAACCGCACTGTTAACCCTGGTGAGGATAAGTCGCTGCTACACCGCACTGCACCGCACCGCACACTTGATGCACACCGCGGCACCGTCAGCCCTGGTGAGTGAGGAGAGCTGACTTCACCTGCTGCTCCCTTCACCAGCTGCTCCCTTCACCTGCTGCTCCCTTCACCAGCTGTGCTGACTCCTCTTAACCTGCTGTGCTGACACTGCCTTGCATCCACCCCTGTCCCCCCCAGCCTTCTCCCAATTGGAATACCATCGCTGTCCACTTCAGTTACTGCGATGGCGGCTGTTCAAGCACCTCAAAAGCCATTTTGAGACGTCTCACACGCCTTTTGTGCTGCACCCTCGCCTTGCCCCCAACCTCCGCCTTGCCCCCAACCTCCGCCTTGCCCCCAACCTCGCTGGAATGTCTGATCACACGCCTTTTGTGCTGCACCCTCGCCTTGCCCCCAACCTCCGCCTTGCCCCCAACCTCCGCCTTGCCCCCAACCTCCGCCTTGCCCCCAACCTCGCTGGAATGTCTGATCACACGCCTTTTGTGCTGCACCCTCGCCTTGCCCCCAACCTCACACCAGCCTTCTACAACTGGAACGCCGTCTATTTCATCTACTGCGATGGCGGCTCATTTTCAGGCAACCAGGACGAGCCCATTCACTTCAATGTCAGTCACATGCCCCTCCGTCCCTCTCCGACTCTCTCCCTCTCGCCTCTCCCTCCACCTCTCCACATCTCGCCTCTCCGCCTCTCCTTCTCTCCGCCTCTCCTTCTCTCCTTGTCTCCGCCTCTCCTTCTCTCCTTGTCTCCGCCTCTCCTTCTCTCCTTGTCTCCGCCTTTCCTTCTCTCCCTCTCTCCTTGTCTCCGCCTCTCCTCTCCTTGTCTCCGCCTCTCCTTCTCTCCGCCTCTCCTTCTCTCCCCTCTCCGCCTCTCCCCCTATCCCACTAATCCTCTCTCCACATCTCCGCCTCTCCTTCTCTCCGCCTTTCCGCCTGCTCGCCTCTCCACCTTTTTACACTTCCGTCTCTGCCTCTCCACCTCTCTGCCTCTCCACCTCTCTGCTTCTCGTCGTGCTGTTTCTTCCTTCTCATTCTCCCCCTCTCTCGTCCACCACCCCTTCCTTTCCCCTTCCTTTCCCCTCCCTCCTATCCTGCCCCCCCAGGGCATTCCGCTGTACGTGCGCGGAAGGCGAGTAGCGGAGCTGCTGCTGAGGGTGCTAATGGAGAAGAAGGGGCTTGACCGCGCGGACAGGGTGAGAGGGGGGAGGGTGGCGGGTGGGAGGGTGAGATTGGCAGCGTGAGAGGGAGGAGAGTGATGAGGGGAAGGCGAGTGGAGAGGGAGGAGAGTGATGAGGGGAAGGCGAGTGGCGGAGCTGCTGCTGAAGGTGCTTGTGGTGCTTGTGGAGAAGAAGGGGCTTGACCACGCGGACAGGGTGAGAGGGGGAAGGGACCAGAAGGGAGGGTGCGAGGGGGCAGCGTCAGAGGGAGGAGGATGGTGAGAGAGGGAGGAGAGTGGCGGGTCAGCCGAGGCTGGATTTGTCCTGTCCTGCATGGCAGGTGGTTGTGGGATGGTCAGGGGGAGCATTGCTGCCGGGCAGGAAGGAATGCCACTGGTAGCCGCTGGTAGACGCTGGTAGCCGCTGGAAGCCGCTGGAAGCCGCTGGAAGCCGCTGGGGGCCATGTCTTCCCCCTTTCGTCCGCTGGAAAGGAAAGGAAGGACTCACTTCCTTCCCTTCCCTTTCCCCCTTGCCTGCTGCGGTGCCCTCCCTCCCGCCCGTCAACCGAGCAGGTGGTTGTGTCGGGATCTTCAGCGGGAGGGGTGGCGCTGCTACTGCATTGCGATCATTGAGTGAAGGGCACTCAGAAATACCCATGCCTATGGTGCCTTCCCTCCCACCCATCAACCGAGCAGGTGGTTGTGTCGGGGAGTTCAGCGGGAGGCGTGGCGGCGCTGCTGCACTGCGATCGAGTGAGGGACACTCTCACAGCCGCCTCTCCTTCCATGCACGTCCGCTGCCTTGCTGACGCTTCCATGTTCCTTGACGTGTAAGACTCTCTTTCACCCCTCTTCATCCCTCTTCACTCCTCTGTCACTCGTATGGATTGAATCGTAAGAGCACATTGACTTGTGCTGACTTGTATTATTATTATTATTATTATTATTATTATTATTATTATTATTATTATTATTATTATTATTATTATTATTATTATTATTATTATTATTATTATTATTATTATTATTATTATTATTATTATTATTATTATTATTATTATTATTGTTGTTTTGTTGTTGTTGTTGTTGTTGTTGTTGTTGTTGTTGTTGTTGCTGCTGCTGCTGCTGCTGCTGCTGTGCTGTTGCTGTTGCTGTTGTTGTTATTAGTATTATTATTATTATTATAACAATAATAATAATAATAATAATTGTTATTACTACTACTACTACTATTTATTTTTATTTGTAATGCAAAATTGCAGGTGTTTTTTTTCGTTACTGTATTGACACTTTGACTTATGTCGGTGCATGCATGTGTGTATCTCTCTCCCTCCCTCTCTCCTCCCTCTCTCTCTCTCCCTCCCTCCCACCTCCTCCCCTCACTTCCTCCCTCCCCATGTGCAGTCCTGATGTCAACAACACTAGGAGGGTTGCCAACTTTTTTGCTCAAGTGAAGGACATGCATGTGAGCAAGTCAGGACATGCATGTGAGCAAGTCAGGACATGCATGTGAGCAAGTCAGGACATGCATGTGAGCAAGTCAGGACATGCATGTGAGCAAGTCAGCGCATGCATGTGAGCAAGTCAGGGCATGCATGTGAGCAAGTCAGGGCATGCATGTGAGCAAGTCAGGGACATGCAATCCCACGCCAACCCATAACTGCCAACCTTCTCACATTTCCCAGCCTTGCTCTTATCTCCTCCCTGCTCTCACCGTTCTTCTATCTTGTGGCCCTCTTATCCAGAATCTGACCGCCAGCCTCCCAGCAGCGTGTGTCCAGGAGCGAGAGCCAGAGAACCACCATCAGGTGCGCTGCTGCTGCCCTCCTCCATGCCATGCCATGCCGAGCCGTGCCGTGCCGTGCCGTGCCGTGCCGTGCCGTGCCATGCCATGCCATGCCATGCCATGCCGTGCCGTGCCATGCCATGCCATGCCATGCCATGCCATGCCATGCCATGCCATGCCATTCCATGCCATGCCACCTTGTCCAGCCGTGGTTCTGATCCATCGGTAGGAGACTGCACATATTATGCCATGTACAGTACCTTTCACCGACTCGCTGAACCCCTCTTCAACCTAAACGCACCCCACCACACCCCTTTCGCCCTCCTCGCCCCCATCTCTTTCCTCATTCGCATTCGCCACTCCTCTTCACTCCGCTTCACTCCTCTTCACTCCGCTTCACTCCTCTTCACTCCACTTCACTCCGCTTCACTCCTCTTCACTCCGCTTCACTCCTCTTCACTCCGCTTCACTCCGCTTCACTCCGCTTCACTCCTCTTCACTCCGCTTCACTCCTCTTCACTCCTCTTCACTCCTCTTCACTCCGCTTCATTCCGCTTCACCCCTCTTCACTACTGCCATGATAAGCCCTCTCTACGCCCTCCTTGCCCTCCTCACCCTCCTCGCCCTCCCCACACACACCAGTGCTGCATGGCCAACTATCTTCACCACTGCCATAATAAGACATCTCCTCCTCACCCTCTCTCCACCCTCCCCACCCCCTCTCTGCCCCCCCCATCCCCTCTCCGCCCTCCTCCCGCCCACGCCAGTGCTTCATGGCCAACCATATTGTGCAGCACGTCACAACGCCTCTCTTCCTCATCAACAGCAACTACGACAAAGTTGCGGTAAGATGTCACGCATTCCGCTCTTGCCGTTTGTAATAATTACAATACTTTGTTGGTATTATTGTTATCATCATTATCATTATTGTTATTATTAAGCAATTACTGCTACCGCAAGCTATTACTGCTATTATCATTCCTATTCTAACTCCACTCTATCAGCTCAATCTCGTTACCAACTAACAGATGCAAATGCTCATTCCGGCTGCTTTGTAGCTAGCTAGCATTGCCTCGGTACAATCTACCTCGCTTTTGTGCCGCGACCTGCAGATTTTGAGACGTCTGAAAACAACTCCTTTCCAGCCGCGTTGTAGCTATCTAGTGTCGCCTCGGAAAAAAAAAAAAAAAAAAATCATATCTTTTGTGCCTGACGTGCAGGTGTCACTTCCACTACGACTCAAAAGTCACCTCGGTACAATCACCTCTCTATTGTGCCGTGACGTGCAGATGAGGGCCATTGCAACGCCGCAGTTGCTGGATACGGGGATCATTTCGGAGGCAAACCTTCCCCCGGACTGCTTCAACCATGTCAGCAAGTGCACTGATGCCGAGAAGCGAGTCATTGAGGGTGCGTGCGTGCGGTGTGAGTGCGTGGTGACTTGAGCTGCAGATGAGATGAGGGCTATTGCAGCACCAAAAGCCCCCCTTTGACTGCTTCAACCATGTCAGCACGTGCACTGCTGCCGAGAAGCGAGTCATCGAGGGTGCGTGGGTGTGGTGTGAGTGAGTGTCTGGTGACTTATTGCAGCACTGCAGGCATTAGACTCAGCGACAATAGCCCCCCCGCTGCTTCAACCATGTCAGCACGTGCACTGCTGCCGAGAAGCGAGTCATTGAGGGTGCGTGGGTGTGATGTGTGTGTCTGGTGACTTGAGCTGCAGATGAGATGAGAGCCATTGCAGCGCCACAGGAATTAGGCTCAGTGACAACAGCCCCCAGTGAGTGAGTGTGAGTGAGTGAGCGAGTTTTGGGATGGGGGGTGCACCTTGAAAGATTTCATAAGGCCTATTGATTGCACTTCCACAACCCTAATCTTCTTGCCCTACTTGCCTTTCCCAACCTGGCTTGCCTCGGTTTCTTAAATCACTCTCTTTACTTAACCTTCCCGCAACTTACCTCACCATTTTCCCACCTTGACCCACCTTGACCTACCCAGCCCCACCTTGCCCCACATTGCCCCGCCGTGCCTCACCTTTCCCCACCGTGCTTCACCTTGCCCCACACCTTGTCTGCAGATTTCCGCAAGGGAGTGGCGTCAGCAGCGGCTCCTCTCCTCCACACCGACCCACCGTCAGCCACCTCTTCATCACCATCTTCACCGCACTCCACACCAGCCAACGCCGCCTTCCTCTTCTCCTGCTTCCAGCACGGCTCCATCCACTCAGACATGCCGTGGACTGTGCGCACGGCAAAGGGAGTGGTGAGTTACCAGCAGGGTGGTGGGTGCAGTAACAGCAGGGTGGTGGGTGGAGGGGTTGTATTGGTTGTGTGAGACAGCAGGGTGTTGTGTAACACGCAGGCTTACTCCATCCACTCCGGCACTCTGTGGACTGTGCGCACGGCAAAGGGAGTGGTGAGTTACCAGCAGGGTGGTGGGTGCAATAACAGCAGGGTGGCATGCTAGCTACAGGGTTGTATGTAATAGGGGATTGACTCCATCCACTCAGACATGCCATGGACTGTGCGCACGGCTAAGGGAGTGGTGAGATACCAGCAGAGTGGTGGGTGCAGTAACAGCAGGGTGGTGGGTGCACTAACAGCAGGGTGATGGGTGGGTGGGTGCAGTAACAGCAGGGTGGCATGTTAGCTAGCTACAGGGTTGTCTGTAACAGGGGGCTTGCTCCATCCACTCAGACATGCCGTGGACTGTGCACACGGCTAAGGGAGAGTGGTGAGTCCCAAAAGGAGTGGTGAGTTACCAGCAGGTCTTGTGCAGTAACAGTGGGGTTGTGTGTGGCAGCAGGATGTTCTTCCTTCTTACCACACCACCTTACCTCACCTTTGTCCTCACCCTACCCTGCCCCATTGTGCCTCACCTTGCCTCACCTTGCCCAACTTCCTCCATGTACCGTCATGGTAGTTGTGCATATGTGTGCGTGGAATCTGTGCGTGTGAGTGCATGCGTGCGTATCTGTGCGCACGCACGGGTGTGTACTGTGTAAGCATGAGTGTTTGACCAATCCGGCCTTGCATTGTTTCCTGCCCTCCAATCCAATTTATCCACCAGCCAATGTATGAAGCTGTGGACCGTTGGATGCACCCCGGCAACAGCGACAAGATCGACCTCGTCGAAGGCGGATACCCCTGCAACTCGTGCGAAGGTCTGATGTCCCGCTCCTAGACATCCAGATGCCTCCTGGCCCACCCATGTACGAAGCTGTGGACCGTTGGATGCACCCCGACAACGACAAGATTCATCTCATCCAGGGAGGATATCCGAGCAACTCGTGCGCGATGAAGGGATGAAGCATATTCGAAACAGCTCTTTATTCTCTTCAAGTGCATCATGGCCCAGCTGCTCACAGCTTTGGCCGTGCAAATGCTGAATAAGGCCCACAGGTTCGAAATAAGGCCAGGTGGGGCTAGTTATTCCTGTATCATGTAACGTAGTACTCAGCTAGGACCATATTATATTACATGGTTTGATTCAGATTTGTTTTCATTCTCCTTGCTTTGATTGTTTTATTGTAACGCCCATTATACGGTAGGACCATCATTCTCCATATGTTTGCCACCATGGGCCCTTAGGAAATACCTGTTATTCTTAGGATAGATGCCCCTAGGGGCTTATAATTATGTGGGCTTGGACACTCTTTTCATCTGTTGCTGGGAGGAAACAACAGGAGATTGACATGTTTCTGCAGAAGAGGAAGACAGCGTTGGGCAGGTGTCGAGTGAGGCGACGATGAGGCTGTGTGGAAGAGAGGTGCCACTGCCGTGGCCACTCCCCTGCGGTAGTCTGAAACCCAGGAAGGAGTGGTGGATTGTGAAGGTGGGGCAAGGTGGGGAAATGGGGATGAGGCAAGGCAAGGCAAGGGGGATGGGGAAAGGCGGGTTTGAGAAGGGAGTACCGTTATGGTGTGTCGGTTCGGCACTAGGTTTGACCAGCAATGCAGAACAGCAGACAGATTTCACCTGTCCCCTCTCTCCACCCCTCCCTCCCATTCATGCCTTTCCCCTTGGCTCCTCCTATCTTTGGCTTTTCCTGGGGTAGGTGAGTAGAGGAAGGATGAGGAGTTGGATAAGATGTGAAGTGTGGAGCGCTGGGGGAACAGAAATATCACAAGGGACAAAACAATACGGTTACTGTGACGTGGCTATTCGTTTTTCTGTAAGTCATTCGTGCATAGGCATCACTTACAATCCGTGCCCTCCACTTGCAACAAGTTCTAGTAGCACAAGCAAAGGATGCATGCAGGGCACAAGTACTGTACTAGCACACAGTAGTTACTGACACGTATACATGGATCCGTCCCACTTAGCATTTTGAAGATTCCACTCGGTAATCCTCGTGTCCTTCTCTGTCCGAATGAGACACACACGAACTCTTTTCTTTGTGACTTCCTGCACTTCGAGTAAATCAGGCATTTCCTTCAATAGCAGCACAAGCCGCTTCTTCACATGAGCCCTTCTTGAAGACCTCGGGAAACCATGATTCATTAACAGCTCGCCCAACTGCTTCCGGGTCTTCAAACTTAGCCGTTCTTCCAGCTGCTGCAGGGAAATCCAATGGCTGGATGCGCCACCTCCACAAGGTGCTGTGGTAACACAATTTCTTGGCAAGAGCTCCTCCAGAGCAGCATGAACCGCGACTCTCAGCCTTGACTGGATGAGCCCAAGGGTCCTCATATTGGCTTCCGACTGGACGAGCGAAATGCTGGGAGGCTTGTTCGGTTCTTCCCTGGTAAAATCCACAACACCCTTGAGCGCGGATATCAACTGATGCTGTCCTTTCAAACCGTGGTCTTTGTACCTGAACTGCTTCCCAAACACAGCATGGTATAGCTGGAGAAATCGCAGGATGTCGCATGTACCATGAGCACCAAGGATGGTAAGAAACTCGTACTTGAGCCGTGCGATTTCTGGACCGTAGCATGTAACTTGTGGGGATGTCAAGCTTGCAGCGGTGTTGTGTGCGCTGGAGTTGGTAGGATCCAACTTTGGAGTTGCTTCTGCAGATGATGAAATGAGGTCAGTCCTGCTGAGCAAGAATCCACGCATAATGACTGAACCTGCTCGTACCTCACTGGAGTGCACGGACACCTTGGACTGCGTAAGAGCAGAGCGCCATCTCTCAATGTGCTCCTGGTTCCGTTTGGTGGTTAAGGAGAATAATGTGACTACTCTCACTCCCGTGCGAACCAGTGTTGTGATAAAAGGGAAGAAATCCCGATCTCGAGAAAGTATGACCACCAAAGGAAGCTCGAAACTGCATGGGTAGCCAGGGTTGAGATACTCACGTACAGGCTTAAATAAGAAAAAAAATCAGTGGAGTGGCTGAAAAGAAAGGAAATCCGTAGCTAAAGCTACAACACTCACTTGGCCTTCAAAGTGCTTTTCCGCCCAGAGTTCAAAAGGCATGCGATCTCCCTGAGCAAGAATCTTTCAGCGTCTTTCTTTATGGCGTTGTCTGCCATGTTTCTTCCAGGCGGAACTACCACGAGCTCAACATTGGAGCGGCGAATTTCCTTCTGTTCCTGGAAGGATGTGTCTTGTCCGTACGCTCTGATCAGCTGCACGTCTCCTAGACCGTCAGCGAATTTCTGGAGCTCGCAAACAATTTCCGAGGTCGACGCACACTTCGGGACAGGAAGATTCTCGTAATCCCAAAACACACCAACAGGAGCTCGATTCGTTGCCGGGGAACTCCACGTAGAGCTCAGTTCCTTGAACGTGCTCTGAAGATCACCGTTGCTGGTAACATGTCGTTCTATGGCGTTTCCTCTGCATTGAGGTTTAGCAAGCTTACTCCTCAGCGTACCGTGTTCTAAAGTCGACAGCAGCGTGAGTGTTGAGAGTGAGAAATTGTTCAGTCTGGTCAGCTTTGAAGCCGGAAAAGTGTACAAAGCGCGTGAGTCCATGGTGGTGGTTGCAAAAAACTCCAGAGAAACGAAATCGTAAGAACTCTCAAGAGATGCAACCTAAGGAGGCTCACCAATACAGGCTTTATGGTATGGTGTGAATCTCGTTCTAGGGTGGTCGAGATTAAGCCACTTACGAGTCGCGATCCCGTGATGGGAAACAGATCAAGTGCCGCTTGCATGAACGAGCGTGCATCCATGGTTGATCTGCCTGCATGCAGATTCTTTCATGTGAACTTCTCGTGACATTTGACCATCGATGTCTCCAAACCAAAGCGTGTAAAATGGACTGGAAAATTTCCATGAACTGGCTATCATTCGGGGAGGCGAAACACCACTATGAGATGCAGACACCGTCAATCCCGGTATCGTACATATCCCGCTGACTATTGCATTGCCACACTCGTGTTCTGGGTTGACATTTACACGTACTATTGCCTAAACCCTGTAAAATATATTGACGTTGACATTATGATGAAGCACATGATGGAGAACAACACAACTGTCTTTAGCTTAGCCATTGTCTAACTAGTTTCTGTCGAGACAGCTAGGCAAGGTTGAATCGATTGACGAGAGAGTTTGGTACAAGAAACACAACCCTAAAGTGTTATCCCCTGTAACATCTACCCCACTACAGCCTACCAATATATATCACACATATATATCATTTGACACACCCCCATAGGCAAAGTGGGGGAGAGCAACGGGTCACAAGACCAGTCAAGAGAAGCAAAACAAGCTCAGGGTGGATCACAACGTCACCACACATTCTGAGAACAAGCAAATGGCCACAAGGCCAGTTCACATGCAGAGATATATATGCAGCAATAACAGTACAGTGATGGCTACCTAGCAAGAGCCAGCATGCAGGTATATATATATATATATATATATATATATATATATATATATATATATATATATATATATATATATATCACAGTACAAGCAGAGACTACAGCAAGTGTGGAAACGTAGGCACAAGGCCCAACAGAGTACAAAAGCGCTGATGATCACCAGACGGAAGTGCCTTGGTGAATATATCAGCAGTGTTGGCCCGAGTGGCCACGTGACGAAGACGAAGCTGGCCTCGCTGCTGCAACTCTCGAGCCAGGAAGTAACGCAGAGCAATGTGCTTCGTTCTGTACTCCAGTCTGTGCTCCTCACACAAGGCAATGGCCGCCTTGTTGTCAACGTACAGCACTGGAGGAGAACGAGGCCGCTCACCCAAGTCAGTCAGCAGGTAGGTGAGCCAGCGTAGCTCCTGTGCAGCCATGGCGGTGGCGTAGATCTCAGCCTCACAACTGGAGCTGAGAACAGAAGACGAGCGTGTAGACCGCCAAGAAACAGAGCCAGAGCCAAGGCTGAAGGTGTAACCCTGTGACGACCGCTGTGTAGCCTGGTCGTCAACCCAAGACGCGTCTGAGTGCCCAGTGAGGACCACCTCACTCCGTCCTCCAAGCACGAGCCCCATGCCCGATGTACTGCACAAGTAGCGCAGTACCCTCTTAGCAGCAGCCATGTGCTCTGGTCGGTGCCTACCAGGAGCCACGTAGCGAGCGAGAAGGCCAAGAGGGTACGCAAGGTCAGGCCGAGTGCAGGTCATCAGGTACATGAGGCAGCCCACTAGCTCTGGGTAAGGACCACTCGGCTCTACGGACTCGTCCGAAAGTGGAGCTGAGAGCGAGTGACCTGTAGCCAGAGGAGTGTGCTGTGGCGAGGACCAGGTGAAGCCGAAGCGCTGAAGGACCTGCTGCACCATGTGTGACTGAGTCCGTGTGATGGTGCGGCGTGCTCTGTCCCGAGTGATCTGCAAGCCAAGGTAACTGCGCAGCTCACCCAGGTCTGTGCACGTGTGTCTCTTCTGCAGCTCCGACTTCACCAAGGCGAGAGCCTCAGTGTCAGCAGTGGCAAAGACTAAGTCGTCTACGTACACGAGGATGTAGAACGGTGGCAGCGAAGTGTCGGTGCGCAGGAACAGCGACGGGTCAGCTGTCGAAGGAGCGAACCCAAGAGCCGCCAGTGTCGTCCTCAGTGTGTCGTGCCACTCACGTGGCGCCTGGCGGAGACCGTAGACTGGCCGCCGGAGGCTCCACTGGGTACCAGGAGGGAACGACCCAGTGAAGCCAGGTGGGCGGCGCAGCCAGATCTCCTCGTGCAGGCTGCCCTGTAAGAAAGCTGTGCTGAAGTCAAGAGAGTGAAGCTCGTAGTCACGGTGAGCGGCAACGTGCAGCAGCACCCGAAGAGTAGAAATCTTCGGGGTAGGGGAGAAGGTCTGGAAGAAGTCAACTCCCTCTCGCTGACTGAAGCCTCGAGCAACGTAACGAGCCTTGAAGACAGGCGGAGAACCCGGCGGCCGCTTCACCCTGAAAATCCACATGCCATCGACGATGTTCGCCCCAGGAGGGGGAACCTCATCGACGTAAGTGCCTGTGGACTTCCAGGATGCCATCTCTGCGTCCATGGCTGTCTGCCACTGAGAGGAGTACTCACCCGCCATCGCCTCAGCGTAAGAGCGCGGGGTCGGGATGTCTGGTGCATCCGGGTCTCCCTCAGGGGCAAGCAGCATGGCCACGAGATGAGGCGCAGCAGTCGCAAGACACTCAAGGTCCTCGTGCCTGTCCTCAAGGACGTCCGTGCTAAGAGCACACTCACCCCCGACGGACGGAGGACAGACAGACTCAGACTCAGCAACAAGACTGGCAGCGAAGTCTAGACGACAGGCAGCAGCAAAGTCAACAAGCTCAGCGACAAGAGCAGATGCAGCAGTAGACTCAAACGACGGGTCAGTGACAACAGTGGCTAGCAGACGCGTGACAGTAGGGTGCTCAGCACGAAACCGGTCAGACTCAGGGTCTGGAACGTCAGGTAGAGAGGACGCAGGAGGAGACGGCAGAGGAACAGGCTGCAGAGCAGAGGAAGGACGACGGACTACGAGGTGTGCGCTGGGGACAGCCGGCTGACGCGAACGAGGAACACGACGACCGGTACGACCAAGACGAGCAGGCGAGACAGGACGCGACGCAGGCTCACGACGCTCAGCAGGACTACCAGTCTGCTCAGTGTAAGGAGAAGGAGCAGGCAGCGGTGAGCCAGGCTGTAACGGAAGACCAGTAGACGACGGGAGAGTAAGAACCTGACGAAGAGCAGAGTCAGACGGCGGCAGAGACGACGGAGACGGCGGAGCGAAGAACAGTCGTGTCGGCGCAGCTGCGCCAGTACCGGCAGCTCCAGCAGCTCCAGTACCTCCAGCAGCTCCAGCACCTCCAGCAGCTCCAGTCCCAGAACCGACACCTCCAGTCCCAGGGTCTCCAACCTCTGTGTCTCCAGCAGCAGCACCCCCAGAACCAGCACCCCAAGCCCCAGCAGCTCCAGTACCCCCAGGACGAGCACCTCCGGAACCAGCGACTCCAGCAGTAGAGCCCCGGGCTCCAGCAGCGCGACCCTGACGGCGACCGTACTGGTCCTGCAGCTGCTGTGAGGTGAGAGGCACACGTGGACGAAGGCGGCTACTCCAAGGAGACCGCGCAACAGCAGACTCAGAACCCTCAGCGCCAGCACCCCCAACTGCTCCAGAACCTCCAGCGCCAGCACCTCCAGGCTCCTCACGCGTAGGCTCAGTACCCGCAGACTCGGCACCCCCAAGCTCAGCACCTCCAGGCTCCTCTCGCGCAGGCTCCGCACCCTCAGACTCGACACCCCCAAGCTCAGCACCTCCAGGCTCCTCACGCGCAGGCACAGCACCCCCAGACTCCGCACCCCCAGGCTCAGCACCTCTAGGCGCCTCTCGCTCAGGCTCCGCACCCCCAGGCTCAGCACCCCCAGAGACAGCACCCCGAGCAGGACCACCTCCAGCAGGACCTGAGTCACCAGTGACCTCAACAGGCGCAGGTACCGGAGGGTCTACCTGAGAAACACCTGAAGGAGCAGGACCTGGCGCGGGGAGGGGGTCTACCTGGGGAGGACCTGGAGCGAGAAAGAGCGGCGGGGGGGGGCGAGAGGCAGTGCGGTAGGGAAAGAGACGGTAGAAGGGAACAGACTCGTCAAAGGTGACGTCCTGAGACGCAAAGACACGGCGCGAGGTGGGGTCGTAAAACTGCCAGCCAGGCGCATCAGGAGGAAAACCAAGGAAGACGCAGGGAATGGCGCGAGCAGAGAGCTTGTCCGCGGTGAGATCGCGGACAAAGGCACGAGCACCCCAGACCCGGAAACGCGACGCATCGCCAACCTCCCCCGTCCACAGCAGCGTGGGCGAGGTCTCCGGCAAGGAGACACGGGGCCAGAGGTTGAGCTGATGCGCGGCGTACCGGACCGCGAACGGCCACAGAAAATGGGGAGCCGCCGCATGGATCATGGAGGTACGAGCGACCTCCATGACTAAGCCAATGCGGCGCTCAGCAACCCCATTCTGCTGCGGAGAGGCCGGAAGCGTGAACGACTGGGTAATGCCGTGCTCCGCACAGAAGGCTGCCAAGAGGTCAGAGGAGAACTCACCACCTCTGTCAGAGTGCAGACGCAGGACAGGGAAGTCCCGCTCGAACCGCTCGCGGAGCTGGAGACGCACAGCGCGGATCCAGGGGATCAAAACAGCAGGGACGTCCCCCTTGCTGCGCAAGGGGAAGACCGTGGTGTAACGCGTGTAGTCGTCGACAACCAGCAAAAAGTACCGCTCACGGCCCTGTCCCTGGACGCGGGCTGGGCCCCACACGTCCAGGTGGAGCGTCTGCAGGGGAGCCTCTGTGGGAGGAAACGAGGAGGAGTGAGGAGCGGCGCGCTGCCGCCCCTCGACGCAGGGAATGCAGGGCGGCGCAGGCGAGGGAGGGAGGGCAGGCAGAGACCTGGGAAGCCCAGAGACCAGGGAGCGAGAGTGCATGCCACGAAGGCGAGGAAGGGAGGGGTGACCAAGGCGGTGGTGCCACAGAAGCGTGTCGTGCGACAGGCGGCGGCACTCACACTGGGTAGCTACCTGAGCAGACGCGTACAGCTGAGGAGACAAAGGAGTGTAGCGTGAAACAGTGGTGAGGGTGTACAGACTAGACCCCGGCTCACGAGTGAACGTGGCCAGGTGGTGGCCAGTCTTGGAGCACGTGCAGATCGCCACACGCTGCCCTCCAGGAGTCCAGGTGTCAACCCAGTGATCCTGGAGGACGGCGTTGCTCACCAGGTTCGTAGAGAACGAGGGAACGTGGAGACCTGACAGCTCACCAGACGGGACCGCCGGGCACGGGAGCACAGTCGTGGCTCGTGCAAGCACTGGGCCCCCAGAGGGGTCAGCCAGTGAGACAGGGACAGGTGCAGGGAGGGGAGTGACGATGGTGCTATCGCGAAAGAAACAGCGGGAAGCACCAGAGTCAAGTGTAAACGTGTGCAAGGCCTGAGTCGACTCAGTACCAAGGGGAGCAGACTCACTAGCACCTAGGGCTGCAGCCCTTATACCGGGGTCAATACCAGGATCAGGCGGCACACACAAGTAACAGTCACCCTCAGCACTAACAGTCAATGCATACATGGCAGCAAGAATAACATCATAGTCCAGATCAAAGATAGGCACATCACGCCTAAGCAGCTCGGCCCAGTTGGGGAACTCAGTAGCATCAGGATACTTGGCACGCCAGGCGTCACTAAGCCTAGCAAAACAACGATACTCAGTGTGAAAACCGTTGCAGGGGCGACCCTTGCGGGGGCCAGTACGAATGACATAGGGGCAGCGGTCAGAACCCCGAGACGCCCCACGCCCAGCATACCAGTCATTGAGCTGCTGGGAGGCGAGGGAAGGAAGCTGCTGCTGCTGCTGTGGCTGCTGCTGCTGCTGCTGCTGCTGCTGCTGCTGCTGCTGCTGCTGCTGCTGCTGCTGCTGCCCACCAGTGGGGCCACCCTTCTGGCCAGATCCACCCCCACTCCCACCTCCACCGCCACTGCCGCTGCCTCCTCCCCCACCACCGCCGCCGCCGCCGCCGCCTCCACCGCCCCCGGTCCTGCCGCCACCCCACCCACCGCCTCCACCCCCACGTCCACCCCCACCACCTCCACCACCCCCGCCGCCTCCACCACCGCTCCCTCCACCGCCACCTCCGCCACCCCTGCCACCCTTGCCGCCCCTGCCACCACCACGCTTCCCACCAGGAGCGGAAGCCGCTGCGACCTTCTCCGCACCGAGGAAGTCGACAGCAGTAGCAGCAGAGGCGTAGGAGGGGTCAAGAGGGGAGGGGGAGCACCCCTCAAAGAGGGGAGTGCGGGGAGTGCCACGAGCAGCACCGACAGCGAGGATGTTCTTCTCTGCTGCGACCAGCTGCTGCTCGAAGTCGTCCAGAGTGATAGTTGGAGGATCCTTGGCAAGGAAGTGATCCCTGACAGAGCGAAGAGTGTCAGGGAGGCGGGTGACGAGGATGTAGAGGGTGAAGTACAGCGGGGGGGTGTTCGTGGCGAGGAACTCGTCGGTAAGAGCGGCTCGAAAGCGGGCGTCACTAGCGCGGAGGTGAGTGATAAGGTCGGCAGCAGTGTGAAACGAGGCTAAGTCTGGGAACAGGTAAGGCAGGATGAGACTACCAACGGTGGCTGTGGCCGGGGCGGAATAGCGGGCAACGACAGCATCATACAGCGTCTTAGCAGTCTTAAGCTGGTTGAAATGCGCGCGCTCAGAGATCGGTAGGTGATTGCGAATAACAAGGCGCGCGACTGCGTCGCGGAGCTCCCACTGTGCTCGTTCAGGGGCAGGAGCAGTCTCAGCGGGAGTAGGGACAGTGCCAGTGACATAGGCTAGTAGTGATACTCCGTCTGCGACGTCAGTCATAAGGTAAAGCCGCAGATCACTAAGCCAGGTGTCAAACTCGATGGGGCGGCCGTCAGGCTCAAAGGCGAGAACAGTAAGGGTCGCCATGGTTGCAGCGCAGGCAAAAGTAGCAGGCTCAGGCAGCAGGCTCAGGCAGCAGGCTCAGGCAGCAGGCAAAGGCTGCAGGTTCAGGCAGCAGGCAACTGTAGCAGGCAGGTGCGCAAGGCAGACGGTAGAGACGCAAGGCAGGCAAGAAAAAGACAGGGTAAACCCTAAACCCTGGCGGCAGGTACAGGCGGACGCAATGCACGGGGCAGCAATGCGCTGTACGAGCGGCGAACGCGACGTGCAGGGCCTAGGCGGGCTGCGTGCGGACGGTAGGTGCAGCGCGCAGCTCTGGAGTGGGCCGCGCAGGCAGCAAACACGACGCGCGGGGCGAAAAGGGGCTGCGCGCGAGCAACAGATGCGACGCGCGGGCTGCAGACGGGCTGCGCGGGGCCTTAGCGGGCTGCGCGAGGCAGGGACGGGCCGCGCGCGAGCTGTGCGGGCTCAGGGCGGGCTGCGCGGGCGACGGACGGGGCGCGACGCGGCTGGCAGCAGCAGTGCGCGCTAAAAAAAAAGGCGTGCGCGCGCAGCCGAGGCGCGCGCGGGCAGCAGGCTAGGCAGACAAACAGGCAAGGCAGGTAGGCAGGCCGTTGGTGAGGTAACTTAGTAACTGGTGGGCCCTTAAACTTAGGTCCTAAGAACCTGCTCTGATACCATGTCGAGATAGCTAGGCAAGGTTGAATCGATTGACGAGAGAGTTTGGTACAAGAAACACAACCCTAAAGTGTTATCCCCTGTAACATCTACCCCACTACAGCCTACCAATATATATCACACATATATATCATTTGACAGTTTCAACTTTGACAAAGGCCATACAATATCCATACTACGGTGGAGTATATCCAGAGAGCGACGGTATTATACAGGGAATTACAATACAGCAATAATCGAACAAATACATTAACAAACAATTCCGAATCAAGCCATAAGGTACGGTATTATCAAGCAGGACTCCTCCAGGTGCTTCCAAAAGAGTAAGCAACACTATCGAGACTCCGCTCGCTTATTTGCGGCTTATTCAGAGCCAGCGCAGCCAATGCTGAGAGCAGATGGGCTATAATACACATGAAGGGGAGAACTATTTCAAGTGGGCGCTTTAGTCCTCCACAACAATGCATGATTTGCAGGTGTATGCTCCCTCGATGAATGAGATGAATAATGTGGTTCTGGAAAGCACTGATGTGTCGCTTTTCAGACACATCAAAAGACACGTGCGCGTTAATCCTCTGCCATGATGCACGAGTTGCACGGATATGCTCCTTCAATGAGATCAATCTTGTCGGCGTTGCCGGGGCGCATCCAACGGCTCACAGCTTCGTACATGGGCTGTAGTTGGATGGATGGAAATAAAAGGAAGAAAGGCAGATTTGGTTAACAACCGTGTATATGCACACCCATGCATGCTCGCACCAAAACACACACATGCACATGCTATCACGTGCAAACTGACAGAGATAACACCGGGTGCGCACCACTCCGTTTCCCATGCGCATCACGCACGGGACGTTCGAGTGGATGGAGTAAACACCGTGTTACACACAATCCCCACTGACAATGCACCGCACTGCTGGGTACTCACCATGCCTTTGGCCGTGCGCTTCATCCACGGGACGTCTGAGTGAATGGAGCCGTGCTGAAAGCAGGAGAAGAGGAAGACGGCGTTGGCAGGTGTGGAGTGCACGAGAGGTGCCACTGCGTTCGCCACTGCCTTGCGGTAATCTGAAACGCATGAGTGGGGAACGGTGAAGCAAGGTGAGGCAAGGTGGGGAAAGGTGGGGGAAGGGAGGTGGGGCATGGCAAGGCAAGCGGGTGAGGAAAGAGAGGTAGGGAACAAATGGTATTGCAAGGTAAGGCAAGAGGAGTAGGGCAAGGTAAAGCAAGGGCGACAGGGTAACGCCAAGCAAGTAGTAAGGCAGAGGAGGGTAGACTTGTGCAAGCGCATGCACACACTCACGCAACCTCACTCACTAACTCACTCACTCGCTCGCTCTCTCGCTCACTCACTCACTCACTCACCCTCAAAGATTTTTTTCTCCTTGGCAGTGCAGGTGCTGAGATGGTCGAAGCAGTCAGGTGGGGCCGTTAATCCTGAATCCAACACCTCTGGTTGTGTAATGGCCCTCATCTGCAGGTCATGTCAGGAACGGGAGTGCAAGCGCGAGCACGGAAACGGTCAAGAGGCGAGAGAGGGATGGCTGATTATGATTGCAAAATAATATTGCTTGCTGCAACGAGTAGAACGAGTAGAAATCTTATTTATTATTATTGCTTGCAATTATTTACTATTGTGGAACGAGCATAGTGCTTACCGCAACTTTGTCGTAGTTGCTGTTGATGAGGAAGAGAGGCGTTGTGACGTACTGCAGAATATGGTTGGCCATGAAGCACTGGCGATGGGAGAGGAGAGTGAGGGCGGAGAGAGGGCGCGTTATGGCTAAGGTTAAGAGCGGTGGCGTGGAGATGGCATGGCATGGGGTGGTGTGGCATGGTGGATTGGAGACGGCAAAAGCAGCACACCTCATGATGCTTTTGAGAATTCCCATGCTGGTTGAATTTTAGAATCTGAAAAAGCAACCTACGAAAAAAGGCAGGCAGCAGCGCACCTGATGATGCTGCTCTAGCGCTCGCTCCTTGACACACGCTGGTGGGAGGCTGATGGTGAGATTCTGGAAAGACGGACGGGGAGAACAGGGAGTAGAGAGAAGACAGAGAGAACGGGGAGATAACAGGGAGGATGGAAAAGGGAAATTTGAGAGGGGCGGCAGATATGGGTTGATGTGGGATTGCTTGTTCCTTATGACTTGAGTGCTCTTCAGTTATGAGTTGCCCACATTTGTTGTCTCTGACTTGCTCACATTCTTGTCACGTGCATATCCTCAAGTGCTCACATGCATGTCCTGACTTGCTCACATGCATGGTCTGCACTTTAGAAAAGAATGCTGCGATCCTATGGGTGTTGTCGGAATCTGGACTGCTCATTTGCAGAGAGGGGGGAACAGGGAGAGACGCACACACACGCGCATGCACAGACATGAGAAACAAAACAATCCCACACTATGTAAAAAAAAAAAAAAGCAAACACAAACTAAGTCAACAAGACAATGAGCCCTTACAGGACAGCCCCATGGTAGTCAAATTGCAACGTAACTAGACAGTTGCAGAGGAGTGAAGAGGAGTGAAGAGGAGTAAAGCAGGGTGAAGAGGAGTCTTACACGTCAAGGAACATGGAAGCGTCAGCAAGGCAGCGGACGTGCATGGAAGGAGAGGCGGCTGTGAGAGTGTCCCTCACTCGATCGCAGTGCAGCAGCGCCGCCACGCCTCCCGCCGAACTCCCGGTCACAACCACCTGCGCGGTTGATGAAGGGTGGAAGAGAATCACTGGCACTACTTTGTACCAAACCTGCGAAGGCACTGGCACTACTTTGTACCAAACCCAAGGTTCTTTTCCCAAAAGCAGCAGTGCCAGTCTCCCCGCTGAACTCCACAACACCACCTCCCCTCTTCTCACCTTCTCAGCGTGGTCAAGCCCCTTCTTCTCCATGAGGTGCTTAACCAGCGCGTCCGCCACTTTCCTTCCGCGCATGTACAGCGGAATGCCCTGGGGGGAGGGGAAGGAAAGGGGGGAACGGATAGGGACAGAAGGGATAAAGTTCAAATTTACAGGGGAAATTGAGTCTAAAGAACTCTCGAGATTACAGGGGAATGCATTGCGGTGGGGGGGGGGGGGGGGGGGGGAGAGAAAGGGAGAGGTGGATTCGGGAGGGGGGGAATGAGAACGAAGAAACAGCATGACGAGAAGCGGAGTGGTCACCACGGTGGAGAGGAGAGAGAGGTAATGTAAAACGGGCGAGAGGCGAACAGGCGGAAAGGCAGAGAGGCGGAGAGGTGGAGGGGAAGAGGGGCAGGTGACTGACATTGAAGCGAACGGGCTCGTCCTGGTTGCCTGAGAAGGAGCCGCCATCGCAGTAGATGAAATAGACGGCGTTCCAGTTGTAGAAGGCTGGTGGGGGACAGGGGACAGGGGAGAGGGGACAGGGGGACAGGGGACAGGGGGCAGGGGGAAGGGTGGAGTGGATGCAAGGCAGTGTCAGCACAGCAGGCGAAGAGAGCTGACGGTACAGTTGAAGCTGAGAATGCCATTCGTGCTGCCGTTCTGCGCATCAAGTGTGCGGTGCGGTGCGATGCAATGCGGCGCGGTGCGGTGTGGTGCGGTGCAGTGCTGCAGATACGAATTCTCACCAGGGTTGTCGGTCTTGCTGCCACTGAGCATGCCCTGCATGCTGCCGTTCTGCTTATCAAGTCTGCGGTGCGGTGCGGTGCAGTACGGTGTAGGAAGTACCAACAATTCTTACCAGGGTTGACGGTCTTGCTGCCACTGAGCATGCCCTGCATGCTGCCGTTCTGCGCATCAAGTGTGCGGTGCGGTGCGGTGCGGTGCGGTGTAGTGCAGCAGCGGCTTGTTCTCACCAGGGTTGACGGTCTTGCTGCCACTGAGCATGCCCTGCATGCTGCCGTTCTGCTTATCCAGCATCTCCCCTATTGAGCGCGCGTGCTTCGTCGACCCCAGGTGCATGCGCGCCCTGTACGCGCAGGCATGGGGGGACGCGCACCACGCGCCGCCCTGGCATTTGGGGGAGAAAGGGGAGGGGGGAGGGGGAAGGGGGTGTGAGCGCGCATGCTTTGCGGACTCCAGGTGCATGCGCGCCCTGTACTCGCAGGCGTGCGGGGACGCGCACCACGCGCCGCCCTGCAATGGCGGGCGCGGAAAGGGGGAGGGGGAAGGGGGAGGAGGAAGGGGGAGGGAAAAGGGATAGGAGGGGGAATGGAAGGTAAACAAAGTGAGGGGAAGAATGAATGAACAGCTGAGGGGATGGAGGGCAATCAAAGAGAAGAGAGTAGGAGGGAGGGTCGGAGTGCGGTTACAACTGAAAGGACTCCTTCAAAAATCGTTTTGGGGGGGAAGACGGAGAAGTCGTTCGTTTTAGTCACACCTCGAAGAACAGCACCCAGTTGTTCTGTCCCGAGCCGTAGCCCTTCCGATAGTAGAACCCTGGGGCCGACCCGTCCAAGCACACTGCGCCCTCCGCGCGGCCTTCTTCCGCCAGAATCAGCTGCAGCGGCGGAACATGCGCCTCCGTCATTGCGGAAGCATGGGCGGATTCTTTCACTAGCTCCGCCGCTCTCCTCCGCGGAGAGTCTCCGCCGCTTCCGCCAACGGCCAGCTTGCGGGGTTGCACCGCGTTCCCGCGCAATCCGCGCGCGCCGCCAGCTGCCGCTGCGACGAGGAGAAGAACAACGAGAACCGCCGCTGGCGGCGCAACTGGCGGAAAGCCCCGGCGCGACATGACGACGAGCGTGCGGGTCGCGCTACCGATGGAGAGGCGGCGGCGGAATTGGCGTAAACAGGTGACACAGCGCGCTGCTTGGAAAGCTGGCGAGGCGCTACTAGCCTACGGAGAATATCCCTTTACAGAGAGGGTGGATGAAGAATTCTCCTTGATAGAGCGGGTGACCGGAGAATTTCCCTTGATAGAGCGGGCGAGCGGAGAATTTTTCTTGGCAAAACGAGTAATGGAAGGAGTAACGAGTGATTCGTCCTCGCGACAGGGTACTATTTAAGCTGACATCGTAACTGCGGCGCGGGATCATGATCGCCGATCGGCGCATCACGATAGGCGCGCGCAGTGATCGCATGTGCCAGGCGGCGCGATACTGTACTACTACGTGGCGGAGCGTGGCGTGGCGGAGCGTGGCGTGGGAGCTCGAGCTCCGGCCTCGTATCGGCGCGCGCACTGCGGTGAAAGAGCAGATGGTCGCCTGAGAGGCGCGAGAACTGATCGTCGCCTGATCGTCGCCTGATACGTATCGATGATGATTCGCTGGGGGACGGAGCATGGCGGAGCTCTTCCCGGGCAGTTGGGGGGGACGTACTACACGTATCGCCATGGGGGGGACGTACTATCGCCATGGGGGGGACGTACTATCGCCATGATGATCCGCGGGGATCCGGTCGGTCCGAGTCGGCCGCAGAAACCAAGTGGAAGGGCGAAATCGCGCGCATCGGCGGAAATCGTGTTTGTCTCAAAAGAATCGACCCAAATTGCTCCCCGCTCGCCACGTGGGCGTTTTTCTCAATTGATTCGACCCCCTTTCCCCCCGCCCCCCCACCCCGTTTTTCCCGCCCTTGCCCTCCGAAATTCGGGCACCCGCTAGAATCTCGTGAAATCACAAAACGTCACGAATACATGTTTTTTCGTAACGCTAAGATTTCAACATGCGAGCGACATCTGATTGGACAGAACACCTATGACTTCTAATGATAAATTTAGCAGTAATATGGATTATATTAATTATGTGCCACTGCAGTAACATATTTTTTTAATCTTTGTAATACGAGTACATATTTTTATTCTAAATAATATCAAGAAGTACAATAAAACAAAATATCTACCTATTTCAAAATACATTTATTTTTATTTGCCGTGGAGCTATTATAATAAAAAATTTATGAAATTTAACTCTTAGTTTTTTAAGTTTTTCTGGAATACGCTTCATGTAGATATATAGAAAACATAAAGAAACTGTAGGTTGATTTTTCATGTGTTTTTTTTTTTTGCGCCCTTATCTACATTACTGGCATGGGCTAATCCAAAAAAATACGATACAATCAACGTGCATATGAGCCTCCTGAGATTGAGAAGCAACCGCCAAAATTAGGGCGCGTGTCTTTTGGATTTTATTGCAAAGTTCATGTTTTCTAGTCGATTTTTTACGTTTGAACCTAGGTCGACCTGTACTCGAGTATCTCAAGTTTTGGGTCCCGAGTCGCGATACGGATGTGGTGAAAGGACTGGTTATGCTCACCCGGGAAAGTCAGAAGTGTCGCTGGATTCACATCGTCGCTGATCTTGCTGACCGGGCAAAGAAGCTCCTCATCTATTAACCTTCTTTATTCTGTTCGCTCTGTGGTGGCAAGCATTATGATAAGTATCATGTTGCTTTTATCACTTAGTGACAGAATAATGTAGGCAAATGGAATCTCAACCTTGGCAAAGTGTACAGGCTAAGCAATAAACGTAACAATCAGATCTCTATGCGCATTCCTTCTCGCTTTCTTACCTCATCCACTAACCTGCTCTTCGATCTCCACAGCTGCATTGCCGAAAGCATTGTTGCTATTCCTCCCCATCCTCCTCGATCCTGCCATTCCTCTTATTTTTATTGGCAGCAGCAAGGAAGACTGGATCTGCACGCAAACGGGCTGCGGAAAATCACATGGCACATCAAAGTTCGACTTCAGAAGTTCGACTTTATACAGTAAAACCCGAGTCGCGCCCCAGTTTCGTAGGTTACCCGATTTGAAAACGTAGCTCGTAAACTAAACCGGATGAAGTAACGAGGTACGATGTCGTTCGTTACTATCGCGAATGTCGCAGATTCACTGTGCATGAAAAGAAGAACACACGTTTGGCTAAACGGGCACGTGAAAATTCGACCCCAGTTCATTGTCCCTCTGTTTCATCAATCTTTAAACTTGGAAACACGATTATCGCAAACAGCTTTCAACGAAATTAACGAAGCCGGTTACCACCAAAAGGTCGACCTTAATTTTGAACCTCTACACCAAAAGACACGCGCCCTTATCGATTGCGAAAGCTGATGTGGCATACCACAACTACATGGTGGATTTGGCATGATGTAAAAAGCATGTATTCGTGACTTTTTGTGATTTCACGAAATTCCAGCGGGTGCCCGAATTTCGGAGGGCAAGGGCGGGAAAAACGGGGTGGGGGGGCCGGGGGAAAGGGGGTCGAATCAATTGAGAAAAACGCCCACGTGGCGAGCGGGGAGCAATTTGGGTCGATTCTTTTGAGACAAACACGATTTCCGCCGATGCGCGCGATTTCGTCAAGTGGAAGGCACCTGCAAACCGACTTTCAGTCGCCGCCGATGGCCCTGCGCTTCGATCCATAATCTCCCCCTTCCCCCTCGTCCCTCTTCCCCCACTTCCCTCTCCAACTTCCCCCATCCCCGCATCCTTGGAGCAAATAGTTCCCGGTTTCCCCTGCTCTTTCTCATCCTCGCTCTCTCCTCCACCGTCCATCTCTCCCTCCCACAGTGCTATTCGGGAAATGACATGCGACGCGGATGGCGGTGGCAGGAGGTACAGTACAGATCTCCATCGAGAGCTCCTATCCATGATGCCGAAGGCTGTGGATCGTCACGTGTCTTCGATTGTCGGGCACGCAGCCACTGCTTGTACGGATCTGAGGCTGTCTGGCAATCGCGCCTCGTGCAACAACCAGCAGCAGCATATTGCAACCCGGAAGTGATGTTTGTTTTGACAGGCCTCCACGCTCACCACGGGAGGGAAAGTCGGTGAGGAGAATATTTGAGGCGAATGGGAAAAACATTCGTTTGCGAACCACAAACAAGTGGTAAGAGCGTGTTACACCCAAGCAAAGATTGCTGCATTTTGAGGATCACGTAGGCGATCCTTACAGAACAGTGTCATACCTACCACTGTACAGTAATCACTGTGTCAGGTGATGTACCAACAGAGGAAGGATCGAAATCACGAGAGATCGTGATACCCGATCTTGGTGTTTTTTGGGAGATCGTGGTGACTGCCAATCTCTCGGTGATCCTTGCATCTTTGTACCAAAGACAAGGTGATCCTTGATGACGAAACTTTTGTTGTCGTGAACTGCTGTTACAACGTCGCGACTAATCAGAGCATTCTTTTGATGAAGTTCGAACCAATAAAGCGGTTGATTTCGGATCAGTAACGCAGTCAACGTGGTCAACAAAAAATTTCCGACGATCGCGACTGTCGCGTCGTTTCAGGCGACGTCGCCTGGTCGCAGAGGATCACCATTGCAAATTTGCAGATGGTACACCAACAAGTTTTGTGATGTGCACCAAAAAATTATTGTTTTGCCACTCGTAATCCTAGGGTTGAGGTATTGGCGATCTTAGTTACGTGATCCTTGAGACTAGGGCAGGTGTAACACGCTCTAATTCTATTTTCTTCAGGTCACGGGAATTCGCTTTCTTTCCAGAATAAACGGTTGAGTGGGATGTTATGCACTGTGAAGCGATTTTTCTGGTCTGGCTTCCATGGCTTCGGGTTGTACAACCTCTCGTCGTATCGATATTATGTTATATGGCCCGAAGGCTTTCGATTTCCGAACAGTAGAATTTCCTAACGCATCAGTCAGGTGGTTTGACACAACCACCAGGTGCGTCGATTGTACCTGAGAGACAATACTGCACGAGCACCCAGACAGACCAAGGAATGCCCACAAATTTCTAGATATTATGAAAGTGTAACTTCGACATAAACGCAACCCAATGTTGTCCGTGGTAAATTCGGCGAACGCAGGCAAAATGCTGTTCAAGCTTCACTACACTGGCGCACCAAAACGCAGTATAATCATAATGAGAATGTTTTGTACATCACCAAATGTATTGTAAGCGAACCGTCAGGTACAGACCCAGGATTGTTGGACAACTGTACATATCTCGTGAATGTGGTAGGTAGGGTGGCGGTGAACTGTAGAACAGCGTCAACAGTCGGTGCGACAGCGTCAAGTGTCGGTGAAACCCATCGCAGGCGCGCTTCGGGGTAGGGCGAAACTTCTCGCGCAAATTCCAAGGCGATGTTCGCCAGCCAGCCAGTAATGGTGAGAATGGGTCAAACCAGAGTCAACGACTGTTGACCCTAGCTGAAAGTTTCGCGCAACACCTGCGCCAATGGGGAGCTGGCGCAATGTTCGGGGTGGCGGAAAGGAAACAACCTGGGACCGTTGAAGACTTCATCACCTGGTTACTTTTCTGAATATATGCATTTCTGTAATGTTCTTGAAATTATTAATTTCTCAAACTTGATCAGTTAGCAAGTAAGGCACAATCCCTCATAATGTCATATGTCAGTAAGCATTGTCGCAAAATTTCTACCCCAAAGAGAACTTAGTAACCCCATCATGTGCCTCCAGTTCTTATAACAAAAAATAACAATCACCCACATTGATTGGTCTTGAATTTCATAATTTCTCCACTATCCAGCCCCCTTTGTGTTCATAGGAGATCCGTTAATGCTTGTGGATGAGTGTATACAGGCAACAACAATTGTTGTATATGAAACATATCAAAGACAACAAAGAACAAGTTTGAATCGAACCATAGCAAAAGAGATGTGGGAAGGGGGATTTGTCTCGGTGATTGAATGAAAGTTATGCAACATCAGGGTAAGGTGGAGCCCTATCGAGACTTACGCTCGATTATTTGGAGCTTATTTGGAGTCTGCACCCTAATGCTGAGAGCAGATGGGATATAATCAGACCCTCAGACTCGTTTTAGGCCTGTCTGATTCGTCAGACTAGTACACAATTTTAGTCTGAAAATCTCAGACTTCGTAAAAAAAAAAAGGCTGAAATGTCAGAGTGTCTTAAAATAAAAGTATGATCATTCAAAATCAATGTATTAAATGTTTCATCGGAAGTGTATTCAATGTTTCATTAATCTGCTACCGAAACATGCTACACTAAGGGGATTTTCGATAAAACATGCTCTGACAGGGCGAATATATGTGTCAGGGCGAATCTTGTGGTGCGAAAAGGCGAATGTGCAATGTCAGGGCGATTTTGCTGTGATTGGGCGAAAATTGTGGTGCTCTGACAACGCAAATCTGTTGTGTCAGGGCGATTTGCCTATGATTGGGCGAAAATCTTGTGATGTAAGGCTTGGATTTGCTGTGTCAAGGCGATTTTGCTTTGGCAGTGCGAATCTGCTGTGACCCGTAAGTCCGAATCACCAGTCAAGGACGCGTTTGTACTCTGAATGATCAGAGTACACTCTCAGAAAACTCTGAACTCTCAGAGTTAGCCTTAGAAAAAGTCTGAAAATTACAGAGTTGAGGCCCAAAAAAGTCTGATTTTATCAGAGTACACAGGAAAAAAAATCTGAAATATCAGAGAAAAAAGCCCAAATCAGAGAAAAAAGTCTGACTTCTGAGGGCCTGGTGCGGTATACTGTGATGCAAAAGAAGCATGGCGTGTTGAGAGAGCAGAAATAGTGGAGGCATGTACCGTTACAGCCACTTTGATGTTGGAGTATGGCACGTCGGGAGAGCAGGAATGGAACATCTCATGCCTGTTACTTCTATTGTGATGGTGACTTCACCATCCTTTTTCATATTGTAATTTTTTGATCCCGTTTATCCACCCGTTCCCGAAGCCCCTTAAAAAAAGAACCAACATGGGAGCATGCAAAGCACGCATATGAATATTAAATTGTAGGTACGTAGTCCTACAATTTCGTACGGTCCTCACATTTCGCTCTCAATCCTCAAACTTAATACAAGATATATACCTACATCCGCTCTGATTCTTATCTAACCCCCAAATGACTGTACTTACAAACTTCGTCACTTCCTGGTAAAGCATCTGCTACAAGGGTTCAATCACTACAGTACAGCAAGGCCTTTTCATCGCCACAATGGCACGTGCCTTCAATCTCGGCTGTTCATTCATTTGCCCCTCAGAAAACTAATGGCTCGATCAGCCACCTGCATGATGCCAAATTGTTCAGAGTGGCAGGGGTACAGAACTGTGTTGTACCCAGGGATGTGATCAGGAACTATCAGGTGTTCTCAATCACGGGCCACAACCTCAGAACTTTAAGACACACGTTAAAAACTACCTTACATTTCTTGGAGCCTTCAGTTTCCCACTGTAGTATGGACAGCTCACTTATACTCAAACTCCAAACTGTGGCTGGAGTGGAAACCCCATATCCTTGTGGAAGTCCAATTTAGCCCCGATGAGAAAGGGCATTTTTTAACAACGGAAGAAGGAATCTGTAATGATAACGAGAGTTGCTGAAGACCACTATTTTTGTCTTGTATCCTCTCCTTGCAGTGTCACCTAGTCTCAACTCGCGTTGACTTTTGTACCCACCAAAGAATACAAACCTGCCGCATTACCGTACTGTAGCAGTCCAGCCGTGCACCACAGAACCGTGCGTGCGTGAATGGAAGCCTTCCATCTGAAATACAGTACAGTAATCTGATCTGGTAATGGCAGTGGACCTACACCGGCTGACAGATCTGCAGGTGTATCCAGGAACATCTGCACCTACACCTGACACGAGATTTGCCGTTCAAACCACCTGAAGAAGCGTGCGGATAGTGCTGTACACGAACCTAATCGCGATGTACCTGTACTATTGTCCCACTCACTATTTTTGCGATACTAGTCCCTAACTGAAAGGATGAGGCAAAAGACTATATATTTTCAGGGTCCTCATGTCAGGTACAGTGAAGTCTCAACTCGTCGTTTTGTTAAAATCTGTAGTCAATACCAAAAAACATGGTTGCGTTTTTTTACTGCAGTCTTCGCCACTTGGCTCACGCACATTACATATTTTTCAATCCTTTTAAAATTTTGTGGAGGTTTGAAAATTCAGCTCTAGCTGAGATAAATCTAAGGTCCACGTATAGATTTAAGGCTTTGTATTGTAGTTAATCCATAATGAAAGAACTCCCTGAGGGAACCGTCTCTAGGTGAGCGGGGAGCCTAATCGCTGCATACGAGTATTCGGTTTGGAAACTAGCAAGTAGTGTACGATCGTCTCGCGAGGGACTCGTTGTGAGTATACCACAATTTCAATCTTCCAAATTTAGGGTTTTCGTCATGCGGTGGGTAACTCTCTCGTGTGGATTCAAACTCGGGGCTGTAGCAGGCTGCGTTGTACAACATGGCGAGCCGCGGTTCGCCTAGTACTGCCGCAGCGTGTCCCGACAAACGAGGCCACGTGACGACAGATTTCTCCAGCCGCACTTCCTGCCAGTATGGGTTTCTCAGGACCAGTGATTATCATCCGATCATTCTGGAGGTCTGGATTCGTCCTATCCTAGAAACCTGAGGTTCCCTGACAGCCGTCCGAGAGTATTCGCGTCGCATGGCATTACTCAGGAAAACTGGAAGGGGGGCGAGTGGGTGGGAATGGGGAGGAGAGGAGTACCTGGGAAGGACGGAAGGAAAGGGGAACTTCTGGCCCCGGGAGGGTGGGGGGAGATCTCTTTTGTCGCTTCCCACCGGCGCGCGTATACGCGCACCTATAAGCCATGATCTGACGGGAAACCCAGTGAATCTCGCCGGCTTCTACTATTCTTTCCCCACCACCTGCCCCACCTGCCCCACCACCTGCCCCACCTGCCCCACCACCTGCCCCACCACCTGCCCCACCACCTGCCCCGACCTACCCCCCCTGCCCCAGCGATAAGGGCCGATCCTACCCCGACCCGACGCGCCTGCCCTTCCCCCGATCGGCGCTTCCTAGAATCCCTGTGCAGGTAACGGCGAGCAGAGGGATCTACTAGATGTGACGTCCAGGTTACGATCATGTCACATCTGGTGGTACTACCCACGGTGAGAATCACAAGCAACTCCTCACGCTCTCGCTCCCCTCCTCCCGCCGCTGCTGCTGCTGCTGCTGCCGCTGCTGCTGCTGCTGCCGCTGCTGCTGCTGCTGCTGCTGCTGCTGCCGCTGCTGCTGCTGCTGCTGCCGCTGCTGCTGCTGCTGCTGCCGCTGCTGCTGCGGCTGCTGCTGCTGCCGCCGCTGCTGCTGCTGCCGCCGCTGCTGCTGCTGCCGCTGCTGGACCTGAATTCTGGACCTGATTTGAAGGCACTACTATCGGCCATCGGTTTACAGGCGTCTGCTTCTCACCACGGTATCATCCGCCGCTCCGCCTCCTCCGCCGTCCCTTCTCCGCCGCTACACCATACTCCGCCACCCGTTCCCCGCCGTCCCCTCCTCCCGCCGCCCCTCCTCCGCTGCCCCTTCTCCGCCGCCCTCGTTGAACGAGTTCCGCGCGCCCGTCATGTCGCGCCGGGGCTTCACTCCAGTTGCGGCGCCAGCGGCGGGTCTCCTTGCGCTGCTGCTCCTCGCAGCGGCAGCTGGCGGCGTGCGCGGAGCGGGCGTCAATGCGGCGCAACCCCGCAAGCTGGCTGCTGGCGGAAGCGGAGACAATGCCGCCGCGTCGGAGCTAGTAAAGGAATCCTCCCGGTCTTCCGCGGAGGGGGACTGGCTTGTAGTGAAGGATTCTGCTCCTTCCGCCAGTGGCGGTGAGGCGGACGCGGAAGCGGAGGCGCAGGCGCAGATTCCGCCGCTGCAGCTGATTCTGGCGGAAGAAGGGCGCGCGGAGGGCGCAGTGTGCTTGGACGGGTCGGCTCCTGGGTTCTACTATCGGAAGGGCTATGGCTCGGGAGAAAACAACTGGGTGCTGTTCTTCGAGGTGTGACTAAAACGAACGGCTTCCGTTTTCCTCCTTTTTTTCAATTGTTTCTGCACCGCCTAGTACCCTCCGCCGCCTCCCTGGCCCTCCATCCCCTGCTTGTTTACCTCTACTGTTTTTTCTTCCCCCCTTGTCCACCTTCCGTTCCGCCCTCCTTTCCCCTCCCCTCCCCCCACCCCTCTCCGCTTCCCCTCCACTCTCCCCTTCCGCCCGCATTCCAGGGCGGAGCGTGGTGCGCGTCCCCCCACGCCTGCGCGCACAGGGCGCGCACGCACCGGGGATCCACGGAGCACGCGCGCTCAGTGGCGGAGATGCTGGATAAGGAGAAGGGCGGCATGAACGGCATGCTCAGCTTCAATAAGACTGTCAACCCTGGTGAGAATCCGTAGCTGCTGCACCGCACCGCACCGCACCTCGATGCACAGTTCATGTTCAGCGGCAGCATGATTGGCATGCTCAGCTTCAATAAGACCGTCAACCCTGGTGAGGAGAAGTTGCTGTTACACCGCACCGCACCGCACTACACTGCACCGCATACTTGCGCTGAATGGCAGGCATGCAGGGCATGCTCAGCTTCAACCGCACTGTTAACCCTGGTGAGGATAAGTCGCTGCTACACCGCACTGCACCGCACCGCACACTTGATGCACACCGCGGCACCGTCAGCCCTGGTGAGTGAGGAGAGCTGACTTCACCTGCTGCTCCCTTCACCAGCTGCTCCCTTCACCTGCTGCTCCCTTCACCAGCTGTGCTGACTCCTCTTAACCTGCTGTGCTGACACTGCCTTGCATCCACCCCTGTCCCCCCCAGCCTTCTCCCAATTGGAATACCATCGCTGTCCACTTCAGTTACTGCGATGGCGGCTGTTCAAGCACCTCAAAAGCCATTTTGAGACGTCTCACACGCCTTTTGTGCTGCACCCTCGCCTTGCCCCCAACCTCCGCCTTGCCCCCAACCTCCGCCTTGCCCCCAACCTCGCTGGAATGTCTGATCACACGCCTTTTGTGCTGCACCCTCGCCTTGCCCCCAACCTCCGCCTTGCCCCCAACCTCCGCCTTGCCCCCAACCTCCGCCTTGCCCCCAACCTCGCTGGAATGTCTGATCACACGCCTTTTGTGCTGCACCCTCGCCTTGCCCCCAACCTCACACCAGCCTTCTACAACTGGAACGCCGTCTATTTCATCTACTGCGATGGCGGCTCATTTTCAGGCAACCAGGACGAGCCCATTCACTTCAATGTCAGTCACATGCCCCTCCGTCCCTCTCCGACTCTCTCCCTCTCGCCTCTCCCTCCACCTCTCCACATCTCGCCTCTCCGCCTCTCCTTCTCTCCGCCTCTCCTTCTCTCCTTGTCTCCGCCTCTCCTTCTCTCCTTGTCTCCGCCTCTCCTTCTCTCCTTGTCTCCGCCTTTCCTTCTCTCCCTCTCTCCTTGTCTCCGCCTCTCCTCTCCTTGTCTCCGCCTCTCCTTCTCTCCGCCTCTCCTTCTCTCCCCTCTCCGCCTCTCCCCCTATCCCACTAATCCTCTCTCCACATCTCCGCCTCTCCTTCTCTCCGCCTTTCCGCCTGCTCGCCTCTCCACCTTTTTACACTTCCGTCTCTGCCTCTCCACCTCTCTGCCTCTCCACCTCTCTGCTTCTCGTCGTGCTGTTTCTTCCTTCTCATTCTCCCCCTCTCTCGTCCACCACCCCTTCCTTTCCCCTTCCTTTCCCCTCCCTCCTATCCTGCCCCCCCAGGGCATTCCGCTGTACGTGCGCGGAAGGCGAGTAGCGGAGCTGCTGCTGAGGGTGCTAATGGAGAAGAAGGGGCTTGACCGCGCGGACAGGGTGAGAGGGGGGAGGGTGGCGGGTGGGAGGGTGAGATTGGCAGCGTGAGAGGGAGGAGAGTGATGAGGGGAAGGCGAGTGGAGAGGGAGGAGAGTGATGAGGGGAAGGCGAGTGGCGGAGCTGCTGCTGAAGGTGCTTGTGGTGCTTGTGGAGAAGAAGGGGCTTGACCACGCGGACAGGGTGAGAGGGGGAAGGGACCAGAAGGGAGGGTGCGAGGGGGCAGCGTCAGAGGGAGGAGGATGGTGAGAGAGGGAGGAGAGTGGCGGGTCAGCCGAGGCTGGATTTGTCCTGTCCTGCATGGCAGGTGGTTGTGGGATGGTCAGGGGGAGCATTGCTGCCGGGCAGGAAGGAATGCCACTGGTAGCCGCTGGTAGACGCTGGTAGCCGCTGGAAGCCGCTGGAAGCCGCTGGAAGCCGCTGGGGGCCATGTCTTCCCCCTTTCGTCCGCTGGAAAGGAAAGGAAGGACTCACTTCCTTCCCTTCCCTTTCCCCCTTGCCTGCTGCGGTGCCCTCCCTCCCGCCCGTCAACCGAGCAGGTGGTTGTGTCGGGATCTTCAGCGGGAGGGGTGGCGCTGCTACTGCATTGCGATCATTGAGTGAAGGGCACTCAGAAATACCCATGCCTATGGTGCCTTCCCTCCCACCCATCAACCGAGCAGGTGGTTGTGTCGGGGAGTTCAGCGGGAGGCGTGGCGGCGCTGCTGCACTGCGATCGAGTGAGGGACACTCTCACAGCCGCCTCTCCTTCCATGCACGTCCGCTGCCTTGCTGACGCTTCCATGTTCCTTGACGTGTAAGACTCTCTTTCACCCCTCTTCATCCCTCTTCACTCCTCTGTCACTCGTATGGATTGAATCGTAAGAGCACATTGACTTGTGCTGACTTGTATTATTATTATTATTATTATTATTATTATTATTATTATTATTATTATTATTATTATTATTATTATTATTATTATTATTATTATTATTATTATTATTATTATTATTATTATTATTATTATTATTATTATTATTTTTTGTTGTTGTTGTTGTTGTTGTTGTTGTTGTTGTTGTTGTTGTTGTTGTTGTTGCTGCTGCTGCTGCTGCTGCTGCTGTGCTGTTGCTGTTGCTGTTGTTGTTATTAGTATTATTATTATTATTATAACAATAATAATAATAATAATAATTGTTATTACTACTACTACTACTATTTATTTTTATTTGTAATGCAAAATTGCAGGTGTTTTTTTTCGTTACTGTATTGACACTTTGACTTATGTCGGTGCATGCATGTGTGTATCTCTCTCCCTCCCTCTCTCCTCCCTCTCTCTCTCTCCCTCCCTCCCACCTCCTCCCCTCACTTCCTCCCTCCCCATGTGCAGTCCTGATGTCAACAACACTAGGAGGGTTGCCAACTTTTTTGCTCAAGTGAAGGACATGCATGTGAGCAAGTCAGGACATGCATGTGAGCAAGTCAGGACATGCATGTGAGCAAGTCAGGACATGCATGTGAGCAAGTCAGGACATGCATGTGAGCAAGTCAGCGCATGCATGTGAGCAAGTCAGGGCATGCATGTGAGCAAGTCAGGGCATGCATGTGAGCAAGTCAGGGACATGCAATCCCACGCCAACCCATAACTGCCAACCTTCTCACATTTCCCAGCCTTGCTCTTATCTCCTCCCTGCTCTCACCGTTCTTCTATCTTGTGGCCCTCTTATCCAGAATCTGACCGCCAGCCTCCCAGCAGCGTGTGTCCAGGAGCGAGAGCCAGAGAACCACCATCAGGTGCGCTGCTGCTGCCCTCCTCCATGCCATGCCATGCCGAGCCGTGCCGTGCCGTGCCGTGCCGTGCCGTGCCGTGCCATGCCATGCCATGCCATGCCATGCCGTGCCGTGCCATGCCATGCCATGCCATGCCATGCCATGCCATGCCATGCCATGCCATGCCATGCCATTCCATGCCATGCCACCTTGTCCAGCCGTGGTTCTGATCCATCGGTAGGAGACTGCACATATTATGCCATGTACAGTACCTTTCACCGACTCGCTGAACCCCTCTTCAACCTAAACGCACCCCACCACACCCCTTTCGCCCTCCTCGCCCCCATCTCTTTCCTCATTCGCATTCGCCACTCCTCTTCACTCCGCTTCACTCCTCTTCACTCCGCTTCACTCCTCTTCACTCCACTTCACTCCGCTTCACTCCTCTTCACTCCGCTTCACTCCTCTTCACTCCGCTTCACTCCGCTTCACTCCGCTTCACTCCTCTTCACTCCGCTTCACTCCTCTTCACTCCTCTTCACTCCTCTTCACTCCGCTTCATTCCGCTTCACCCCTCTTCACTACTGCCATGATAAGCCCTCTCTACGCCCTCCTTGCCCTCCTCACCCTCCTCGCCCTCCCCACACACACCAGTGCTGCATGGCCAACTATCTTCACCACTGCCATAATAAGACATCTCCTCCTCACCCTCTCTCCACCCTCCCCACCCCCTCTCTGCCCCCCCCATCCCCTCTCCGCCCTCCTCCCGCCCACGCCAGTGCTTCATGGCCAACCATATTGTGCAGCACGTCACAACGCCTCTCTTCCTCATCAACAGCAACTACGACAAAGTTGCGGTAAGATGTCACGCATTCCGCTCTTGCCGTTTGTAATAATTACAATACTTTGTTGGTATTATTGTTATCATCATTATCATTATTGTTATTATTAAGCAATTACTGCTACCGCAAGCTATTACTGCTATTATCATTCCTATTCTAACTCCACTCTATCAGCTCAATCTCGTTACCAACTAACAGATGCAAATGCTCATTCCGGCTGCTTTGTAGCTAGCTAGCATTGCCTCGGTACAATCTACCTCGCTTTTGTGCCGCGACCTGCAGATTTTGAGACGTCTGAAAACAACTCCTTTCCAGCCGCGTTGTAGCTATCTAGTGTCGCCTCGGAAAAAAAAAAAAAAAAAAATCATATCTTTTGTGCCTGACGTGCAGGTGTCACTTCCACTACGACTCAAAAGTCACCTCGGTACAATCACCTCTCTATTGTGCCGTGACGTGCAGATGAGGGCCATTGCAACGCCGCAGTTGCTGGATACGGGGATCATTTCGGAGGCAAACCTTCCCCCGGACTGCTTCAACCATGTCAGCAAGTGCACTGATGCCGAGAAGCGAGTCATTGAGGGTGCGTGCGTGCGGTGTGAGTGCGTGGTGACTTGAGCTGCAGATGAGATGAGGGCTATTGCAGCACCAAAAGCCCCCCTTTGACTGCTTCAACCATGTCAGCACGTGCACTGCTGCCGAGAAGCGAGTCATCGAGGGTGCGTGGGTGTGGTGTGAGTGAGTGTCTGGTGACTTATTGCAGCACTGCAGGCATTAGACTCAGCGACAATAGCCCCCCCGCTGCTTCAACCATGTCAGCACGTGCACTGCTGCCGAGAAGCGAGTCATTGAGGGTGCGTGGGTGTGATGTGTGTGTCTGGTGACTTGAGCTGCAGATGAGATGAGAGCCATTGCAGCGCCACAGGAATTAGGCTCAGTGACAACAGCCCCCAGTGAGTGAGTGTGAGTGAGTGAGCGAGTTTTGGGATGGGGGGTGCACCTTGAAAGATTTCATAAGGCCTATTGATTGCACTTCCACAACCCTAATCTTCTTGCCCTACTTGCCTTTCCCAACCTGGCTTGCCTCGGTTTCTTAAATCACTCTCTTTACTTAACCTTCCCGCAACTTACCTCACCATTTTCCCACCTTGACCCACCTTGACCTACCCAGCCCCACCTTGCCCCACATTGCCCCGCCGTGCCTCACCTTTCCCCACCGTGCTTCACCTTGCCCCACACCTTGTCTGCAGATTTCCGCAAGGGAGTGGCGTCAGCAGCGGCTCCTCTCCTCCACACCGACCCACCGTCAGCCACCTCTTCATCACCATCTTCACCGCACTCCACACCAGCCAACGCCGCCTTCCTCTTCTCCTGCTTCCAGCACGGCTCCATCCACTCAGACATGCCGTGGACTGTGCGCACGGCAAAGGGAGTGGTGAGTTACCAGCAGGGTGGTGGGTGCAGTAACAGCAGGGTGGTGGGTGGAGGGGTTGTATTGGTTGTGTGAGACAGCAGGGTGTTGTGTAACACGCAGGCTTACTCCATCCACTCCGGCACTCTGTGGACTGTGCGCACGGCAAAGGGAGTGGTGAGTTACCAGCAGGGTGGTGGGTGCAATAACAGCAGGGTGGCATGCTAGCTACAGGGTTGTATGTAATAGGGGATTGACTCCATCCACTCAGACATGCCATGGACTGTGCGCACGGCTAAGGGAGTGGTGAGATACCAGCAGAGTGGTGGGTGCAGTAACAGCAGGGTGGTGGGTGCACTAACAGCAGGGTGATGGGTGGGTGGGTGCAGTAACAGCAGGGTGGCATGTTAGCTAGCTACAGGGTTGTCTGTAACAGGGGGCTTGCTCCATCCACTCAGACATGCCGTGGACTGTGCACACGGCTAAGGGAGAGTGGTGAGTCCCAAAAGGAGTGGTGAGTTACCAGCAGGTCTTGTGCAGTAACAGTGGGGTTGTGTGTGGCAGCAGGATGTTCTTCCTTCTTACCACACCACCTTACCTCACCTTTGTCCTCACCCTACCCTGCCCCATTGTGCCTCACCTTGCCTCACCTTGCCCAACTTCCTCCATGTACCGTCATGGTAGTTGTGCATATGTGTGCGTGGAATCTGTGCGTGTGAGTGCATGCGTGCGTATCTGTGCGCACGCACGGGTGTGTACTGTGTAAGCATGAGTGTTTGACCAATCCGGCCTTGCATTGTTTCCTGCCCTCCAATCCAATTTATCCACCAGCCAATGTATGAAGCTGTGGACCGTTGGATGCACCCCGGCAACAGCGACAAGATCGACCTCGTCGAAGGCGGATACCCCTGCAACTCGTGCGAAGGTCTGATGTCCCGCTCCTAGACATCCAGATGCCTCCTGGCCCACCCATGTACGAAGCTGTGGACCGTTGGATGCACCCCGACAACGACAAGATTCATCTCATCCAGGGAGGATATCCGAGCAACTCG